AAAGGGACTGTTATCAGACAGCACATACCAGGGTCTGGAGCTTACTTCCCAGGAGCTGGATAAAGGTCAAACCTTTCTTTGAGCAAGGTTAATTCTTTTTTTTTTTTTTTTTTAACTTGGGTTGGAGTCTCACACTCCGTCACTCAGGCTGGAGTGCAGTGGCACATTCACAGCCACTGCAGCCTCGACCTGCTGGGCTCAGGTGACCCTTCCACCTCAGCCTTCTAAGTAGCTGGAACTACAGGCATGTACCACCACTCTCAGCTAATTTTTTTTTTTTTTGAGTTGGAGTCTCACTCTGTCGCCCAGACTGGAGCGCAGTGGCCGCTCCTGGCCACCGCAGCCTCGACCTGCTGAGCTCCGGTGATCCTTCCGCCTCAGCCTTCCAAGTAGCTGGAACTACAGGTGCGCGCTACCACGCCCGGTTAATTTTTTTGATTTATTGTAGAGATGAGGTCTCGCCAAGTTGCCCGGGTGGGTCTCGAACCCGCGGGCTCAGGCAATTCACTCACCTCAGCCTCCCAAAGGCGCGGGATTACAGGCTGAGCCACCGAGCCCGGCTTCGGCTAATTTTTTGATTTATTGTAAAGACAAGGCCTCGCCAAGTTGCCCAGGCTGGTCTCAAACCCGTGGGCTCAGACAATCCTCTCACCTCGGCCTCCCAGAGTGCTGGGATTATAGGCAGGAGCCACCATACCCGGTCAAGCAATGTTCTTTATTGCACAACTGTGATTGTATATTTTCAATTAAAGAAGGTTTATCGGCCGGGCATGGTGGTTCAAGCCTGTAATCCCAGCACTTTGGGAGGCCGAGACAAGAGGATTGCCTGAGCCTGCGGGTTCGAGACCAGCCTGGGCAACATGGTGAGACCTCGTCAGTACAATAAATCAAAAATGAGCTGGGCGTGGGAGCGTGCGCCTGTAGTTCCAGCTACTGGAAGTCTGAGGCAGAAGGATTGCTGGTGCCCAGCAAGATAGATAAATAAATAAGCTTTATCATTTGTCCCATTTATACTTTTTTTATTTTTATTTTATTTTATTATTTTTTGAGTTGGAGTCTCACTCTGTCACCCAGACTGGAGTGCAGTGGCCGCTCCTGGCCACTGCAGCCTCGACCTGCTGGGCTCCAGCGATCCTTCCGCCTCAGCCTTCCGAGTAGCTGGAATTACAGGCATGTGCTACCAGGCCCGGCTGATTTTTTGATTTATTGTAGAGATGAGGACTCACTGCCCAGGCGGGTCTCGAAACCACGGGCTCAGGCAATCCACTCACCTCACGGCTTATACTTTTTTAAAGGTCAGTCTGGCTACCATGTGGAAAAGAGACTGTGGAAGAAGGGTGAAATCAGGAAGACAATGGAGGAGACGCTGCCATAATCTGAGAGAGACTGATGATGACACCAGCCTTGCAGCTGGCAGATGCTTCCTGTGTGTTTTTAGTGTGTGTCAGGCACTGTGACAAGTGCCACGCAGAGAACATCTCATTTAAGCATTGCCTGGCCTCTTAGAGGACACGGCATCTCATTTTCCCACCTCGGAGAGGAAAAACTGGAGGCTGGAGGAGACATGTCCAGGAACAGAGGACAAACTGAGGGCAGAGGCTGCTCTAGAAACCAAACCCTCTCCTCCTGCCACCCTCTCTGCCAAGGTGACAGTATCGCCCAGTGGTCCAGATATGGAGACCAACACTTTGGACAGAGAAATTTACCTTTCCTTTCTATTTTGTGTTGATACATGATAACCATACACATGGATGGGATACGTGTGATATCATGGCACAGGCACACAACATGTAATGATCAAATCAGGGTACTTACGGTATCCATCACCTCGAATACACCATTTCTTGGGGAAACATTCCAAATCATCCAGCTAATTTGAAATATGCAATAAATTGTTGGAACTATAGTCACCCTACTGTGCTATCAAACACTGGAACTTATTCCTTCTATCTCACAGTATGTTTATATACATTAATCACACGGGCACACACACCCACACACACCCACACACACCCACACACACAGGCACACACACACACTTTTCAGTCTCTGATAACCACCATTCTATTCTCTACATCCATGAAATAAATTTTTTTAGCCCCCACATATGAGTGAGAACATGTGATATCTGTCTGTTTGTGCCTGGTCAATTTCACTTAACATAATGGCTGCCAATTCCACCGATGTTGCTGCAAATGACAGGATTTTATTCTTTTCATGGTGGAACACTATTTCGCCGTGTATATATACAACATTTTCTTTACCCATTTGTCTATTGATAGGCACTTAGGTGGATTTCATATCTTGGCTATTGCAATAGTACTGCAATAAATATGGAAATCACATACTGATTTCCTTTCTTTTCGGGAGTTTTCCTTTTCCAATTTTATTATAAAATTTTTAAATTACAAAGAAAGCAAAATTTTCCCGGCACAAATAACACTTGTTTTTTAAAAAGGGGGGAGAGGACACGTAAGCGCATGATGTTCCTATTTTATGAAAAGAGAAAGACAACTGTACAGGTTTTTTTCTCCCAGCTCCCAAGTGTGGGATGTAATTACTAGCCCTAGATATGTATATATACATATGCACAGACCTAGCTCTGGAAAACTGCTTAGCAAATCCCAAATCGACTGCAGTATTTCTTACTGTCCACTCCCCACCCATTAGTCCTCCCCCAACTACAATTATTTATCAAAGTCTGGGAAGTAAAAACACATTGGTAGCCAGGCATGGTGGTGCGTGCCTGTAGTTCCAACTACTTGGAAGGATGAGGTGGAAGGATCACCTGAGCCCAGCAGGTTGAGGCTGTGGTGGCCATGAGTGTGCCACTGCACTCCAGCCTGGGCGACAGAATGAGACTCCAACTCAAAAAAAAAAAAAAAAAAACATTGGGAGGTTACGGTGGCTGCTGGTGGGGCTAGAAACCCATCAGACCAAGCAAGGTCACCTTTTGTACAAGAGAACACAAAACCAGAGGAAAAGAAAATAAGACTCCTTAGGACACAATTCACCAATTGTGTGGAAAATCTCAAGTTTCAACAGGGCATACTAAGGCACCTGGCTGACGGACTCCCCACCCTTCCCCCAAAGTTTCCACCGGCATTGGACAAGAGACCTTGCCAAAGCCACAAAGACCTACCCCCCCAACGGCTAGTTCCTAGTTGACTGGGAGAAGCTACAGCTTCTCCCACCAGCTGTCACTTGGACCTCTCTCCCCTTCCCCAAGACCAACAGAAGTGAGGAGGTAACTGAGTTTGGACCCCCCACTGCTCCCCATTGGGAGGTGGAAGTCAGCCCAGAGGTGGGATTTTTCCACCGCCCTCCCTTTGCTGGCTAGCTGCTGCCGTCCCTCTCCACCAAACCAAAGATTCTGGAATTCTCACAAGGAGTGCCCAACTTAAAGAAAGCTCATTTACCCTAAAGATATTTCTACTGACTTCACAATTCCTGGACCTAGCCAGAATCAACTGCTTTGCCTGTTCTCTTGCTCATCTACCTTCATAGCAAAACAAAAAATACCCCAACAAAGCACACAACCCACCAAAACCCCTAACCCCATTAAGTACATTAATAGCAAAACAAGGCCGGGCGCTGTGGCTCACTCCTATAATCCCAGCACTGTGGGAGGCCGAGTCCACGGGTTTGAGACCAATCTGGGCAACTTGGTGAGACCTCATCTCTACAATAAATCACAAAAACTAGCTGAATGTGGAGGCGTGCATCTGTAGTTCTAGCTACTTGGAAGGTTGAGGCGGAAGGATCACCTGAGCCCAGCAAGTAGAGGCTGCGGTGGCCGTGAGTGTGCCACTGCACTCTAGCCCAGGCAACAGAGAGAGACTCCCTCTCAAAAAAAAAAAAAAAAAGATCAGAATAGAAGGCAGCAAAGGGTTTCAGGTGTGGACTGAGAGAAAAACAGGAGAAAAATATTTACAGAAAACAGGAGACAGAAAGGAGAGTCCACAAGAAAAGGCTTCATTGTCACTTCTTCTTACCAGCTGTCTTGGCACTTGCCTTTGGGCTTCACTGGTTTGTCCTTCTTGGGTTTGGATGCCTTGATGGGCTTGGCTTTGACAGTCTTGGGTTTTTTGGTCTTCTTGGGCATGGCAGCCGGCTTCTTCTTGGCCTTCTTGACAGGAGCGGCTCTGGGTTTCTTGCTTGGAGCTTTGGAGGCAGCCTTCTTGGGCTTGACTGCCATCTTTGGTATGGCCACCTTCTTGACTTCCTTCTCCATCTTCTTGAAGGTCACAGACTTCTTGGGCTCGTTGCTCTTGGCCGACCGGAAGGATCCCGAGGCACCCACCCCTTTGGTCTGCTTGAGGACACCAGTAATGACCAGGCACTTGATGGACAGCTTGATGTGCAAGTCGTCATTCTCACCCACTTTGTAGTGACTTTTGATATGCTTCTGGATGGACTGATGCTAGGAGCCAGCATGGTTCTTCTCTGCCTGGATGGCAAGTACAATCCTGTTGTTATAGCCACACTGCAAGTAAGGGTTGCCAACACATTGAGAGTCAAATATTGAGTCCTTTAATGCCAGCAGTCAAGAGCAGGCTCATGCCAAAAAAAGACTCTCGACCCCAAATGAAGCAAGCAAAAGAATTATATAGCAAGAACCATAAGGTCACAGAGTTTCAGTTTTGGGTAAGGAACAAAGGAGATTTTTCAAAGTACAGGTCGTCAAATCGTAGGGGGGAAGTGAATTACATAGCCTGACAGAACTGTTTCAGGAATGTTATAGCCCTCCAGGGGAGGGAACAGAAAAGCCATAAATGCAGGACATGATTCACAAATGGAAAGATTAGGGCGATCATTTGGAGGAGGGGTGAGAGGGGGAACTGGAAGACAAAATGGAAGAACTACTACAAAATGGAGTTACCTTGGTCAGGTCACTAACAGCCATTTCAATGTCTGAATCCTTGGGGTGGTCTGTGGACCTCTTGGAGGCCTTGGCTCACTTGGGCTTGGCTGCAGGGATGGATGTGGAGCTCTCCATCATGGCGGCCTGCCAGGTCCAGCTCTGGAAGGCGCCTTACAAAGGGCCAGCCCTCGTCGAAGCCTGGGCCAAGCTTGCCTCGGGATCTGCTCTTGGGCCCCTGACTACCGGACCAGTCAGGAGTCTGGCTCTGGGGAATGCGGGCAAGTAGTTGCAGCCTCTCCTCTTTGACTCGAGTCGCAGGAAGGCTTGTTGTTCTGGTTCTACTTGGCCCAACTCTGCCGGTCTGTGGATCGGTCTCTGCACCATGCTCTGCCTCTGCCTCCGCTGCCTCCCTTTCCCCACGTCTCCTGATTTCCTTTCTTTTTTTTTTTTTGAGTTGGAGTCTCACTCTGTTGCCCAGACTGGAGTGCAGTGGCCGCTCCCGGCCACCACAGCCTCAACCTGCTGGGCTCTGGCGATCCTTCTGCCTCAGCCTTCCGAGTAGCCGGAATTACAGGCATGCGCTACCACGTCCAGCTGATTTTTGATTTATTGTAGAGATGAGGTCTCGCTGCCCAGGCAGGTCTCGAACCTGCAGACTCAGGCAATCCACTCACCTCAGCCTCCCAAAGGCGCGGGATTACAGGCTGAGCCACCGAGCCCGGCTTGATTTCCTTTCTTTTGGATATATACCCAGTAGTGAGATTGCTGAATCATATGGTAGCTCTGTTTTTAGTTTTTTGAGGAAACTCCATATAGTTTTCCGTAGTGGTTTCACGGATTTACATTCCCACCAATGAGGTGCATAATTCCTCTTTTCTCCACTTCCTCATCAGCATCCGTTATTTATTATTATTATTTTTTGTCTTTTTGATAAAAGCCATTTTAACTGTGGTGAGATGATATCTCATTGTGGTTTTGATTTGCATTTCTCTGATGATTGGTGATTTGAGGATTTTTTAATATACTTGTTGGCCATTTGTATGTCTTTTTTTTTTGACAAACGTCTAATTCGGATCATTTGTCCATTTAAAAAATTTGAACATTCGATTTTTTTGTATTGAGTTGTTTGAGTTCCTTATGTAATCTGGTTGTTAATATCTTGTCAGATGGATTGCTTGCAAATATTTTCTCCAATTCTATAGGTTGTCTCTTTACTCTGTTGGTTTTTTTCTTTGCTCTGCAGAAGTTTTCTGACTTGATGTAATCCTAGGTAGCCTATATTTGCTTTTGTGGCCTGTGCTTTTGAAATCTTCTCCATAAGATATCTTCCCAGATCAGCGTCCTGAAGTGTTTCCTCTGTGTTTTCTTCTGGTAGTTTTATAGTTGTGGGTCTTACATTTAATTCTTTAATTCCTTTTGATTTCATTTTAAAAAATATATTATGAATGATAGGGGTCTACTTTCATGCTCCTGCTGAGGGTGATTCAATTTTCCCAGCACCATTTATTGAAGAGACTGTCCTTTCCCCAGTGTATGTTTTGGCATCTTTCAAAAATGAGTTGGCTGTGAATGTGTGAATTTTTTTTTGGGTTCTGTGTTCTGCTCCATTAATCTAAGTGTCTGTTTTTATGCCAATACCATGCCAATACTATAGTTTTGTAATATACTTTGAAGTCAGACAGTGTGCTTACTCCAGCTTTGGTCTGTAGGATTTGTACTATAGGATAATTTATAGGATTACTTTGGCTAGTGTCTTTTGTGGTTCCATACAAATTCTAGGGTTTTTTTTTTTCTTTTATTTCCGTGAAAAATGTTATGGTATTTTGATAGGGATTGCATTAAATCTGTAGATTGTATTGGATATTGAGAACGTTTTAACAATACTAATTCTCCCAGTTCATGAATATGGAATATCTTTTGATCTTTTTGCGTTCTCTTCAATATCTTTAATCAATGTGGGGTAGTATTTGGTTGTTGCTGTTGTTTTATTTTTTAGTTGAATTCTCACTCTGTCGCCCAAGCTGGAGAGCAGTGGCATGCTCACGGCCACCATACCTCAGCCTGCTGGGCTCAGGTGGTCCTTCCGCTTCAGCCTTCCAAGTAGCTGGAATTACAGGCATGCGCCACCATGCCCAACTAATTTTTGATTTATGGTAGAGATGAGGTCTTGCCAAATTGGCCAGGCTGGTCTCGAGCCCGTGAGCTCAGGCAGTCCGCTCACCTTAGCCTCCCAAAATGCTGGGATTATGGGCATGAGTCACCATGCCTGGCCAATGGGGTAGTTTTAATTATGGATGTAATGAAAACCATAGTGTCATTAGAGATGTAGAAAAGTGAAATAGTGATTGTTCACTTCTTTAGTTAAATTTATTCCTTGATTTTTATTTTGGTAGTTATTGTAAATGGGAATGATTTTTTTTTTCAGATTGTTTGCTGTTGGTATATAGAACTACTTATTTTTGTATGTTGATCTTGTGGCCTGCAACTTTACTGAATTTATTTATCAGTTTTAACAATTTTTTTGTTGAAGTGTTTAGGTTTTTCTTTCTTTCTTTTTTTTTTTTGAGTTGGAGTCTCACTCTGTCACCCAGACTGGAATGCAGTGGCCGCTCCCAGCCACCGCAGCCTCGACCTGCTGGGCGCTGGCGATCCTTCCGCCTCAGCCTTCCGAGTAGCCAGAATTACAGGCATGCACTACCATGCCCGGCTGATTTTTTTTTTTTATTTATTGTAGAGATGAGGTCTCGCCAAGTTGCCCAGGTGGGTCTTGAACCCGCAGGCTCAGGCAATCCACTCACCTCAGCCTCCCAAAGGCACAAGATTACAGGCTGAGCCACTGCGCCCGGGTTAGGTTTTTCTAAATATAAGCTCATATACTCTGCAAACAAAGATAATTTGACTTCTCTACTTTCCAAGCTAGATGCCCTTTATTCCTTTCTTTTGCCTAGTTGCTCTGGCTAGGACTTACTCTGTTGTAGTACTATGTTGCTTGTTGCATAAAAGTGGTGAAAGTGGACATCCTTGTTTTGTTCCAGATCTTAGAGGAAAGATTTTCAATATTCCTCTGTTCAGTATATTTGTTGTGCATTTGTCATATATGGTCTTTATTGTATTAAGGTATACTCCTTCTATAACCAGTTTGGTGAGAATTTTTATCACAAACGGATGTTAATTTTTTTTTTTTTTTTGAGTCGAGTCATACTCTGTCACCCAGGTTGGAGCGCAGTGGCACGCTCATGGCCACTGCAATCTCTACCTACCTGGCTTAGGCGATCCTCCTGCCTCAGTCTTCCAAGTAGCTGAAACCATAGGCGTGCACCACCATGCCCGGCTAATTTTTTTATTTGTTATAGATATGAGGTCTCACCATGTTGCTCAGGCTGGTCTCGAACCCCTGAGCCTAGGCAATCTTCTCGCCTCTACCTCCCAAATTGCTAGGATTATAGGAGTGAGCCACGGCACCCGGCCATTAAATATTTTTGAGAGAGGACCTCACTACGTTGTCCAGATGTTAAATTCTGTTAATGTGATTCATCGTGTTTATTGATTTGCATATGTTGAGCCTCCCTTGCATCTGTGGGATGAATCCCACTTGATCATAATCATGCTGAATATTTAATCGTTCTGATGTGTTAGATTTGGTTTTGTTCATATTTTTTTTGAGGATTTTTGCATCCATGTTCATTAGAGATATTAACTTATAGTTTTGTTTTTTGTTCAATGTGTCCTTGTCTGGTTTTGGTATCAAGGTAATATTGGCTTCATAGAATGCGTGTGGAAACATTCCTCCTCTTCATTTTTTGAACTAGTTTGAGCAGAATTGGTATTAGTGCTTTAAATGTTTGGTAGAATTTAGCAGTGAAACTGTCAGGTCCTAGGTTTTCCTGAGAAATCTACCTTTAAGCAACTGTGGCCTTTGATGGTTATGCTAACCTGCTAAGTTAGTATGCAAGTCACAAAAGTGTTGATAAACATTTGTCATTTTGCAGATCATGTCTTGAGCCAAGGCTGTTATTTACAGCAATGATCTCCAAAATGCAAGCACCCTAGAAGAGCCCAAAACCATTCAGTAGAATTCAGGGCATAAATGCTATTCTTTTTCTTTATATTTATTTATTTATTTTTTGAGTTGGAGTCTCAATCTGTCACCCAGGCTGGAGTGCAGTGGCACCCTCACGGCTACTGCAGCCTCGACCTGCTGGGCTCAGGTGATCCTTCCGCTTCAGCCTGCCAAGTAACTGGAGCTACAGGCACACACAACCATGCCTGGCTAATTTTTTGATTTTTACTGTAGAGAAAAAGTCTCGCCAAGTTGCCCAGGTTGGTCTGGGACCCCTGAGCTCAAGCAATCCTCTCACCTCGGCCTCCCAAAGTGCTGGGATTATAGGCATGAGCCACTGCGTCCAGCCTATGTTTATTTTTGCATCACTCTAAATTTATATTTTTGTATATACAGGAGGTGCCAAAAAATATATACACATTTTAAGAGATGTTATCTGTAACATGTTACAAGTAGCTGGAACCACAGGCATGTGCCACCTTGCCCATGCATCTGTAACATGTTATCAAAGTTGAATACACACACACACACTCACACATACACACAGGATGAATATCCCTTATCAAAAATACTCAGGACCAGAAGTGTTTCTGATTTCAATTTTTTAAAAATTTTGGAATATGTGCATAGACGTGGTGAGATATCTTGGGGATGAGCCCAAGTATAAACACAAAATTTATTTATATTTCATACACTCATACACACCTTATGCTCATAGTCTGAAGGTAATTATATATCTTTTTTTGAGTTGGAGTCTCACTCTGTCACCGAGGCTGGAGTGCAGTGGCACACTCATGGCCACCACCGCCTCAACCTGCTGGGCTCAGGCAATCCTTCCACCTCAGCCTTCCAAGTAGTTGGAACTACAGATGCATGCCACCACGCCTAGCTGATTTTTGTGATTTATTGTAGAGACAAGGTCTCACCAAGTTGCCCAGGCTGGTCTCGAACCCCTGGGCTCAGACAATC